CAGGCGTTTATTATAATTATTAATAAAATTTAGAATAACAAATTTGTTTTCAAGTAAAATATTCCTATTTTTCCCGTTTTTTACTGTTTTTTATTTTTAACACAGAGATAGTAAAAATTATTTCAAAAAACACAAAGCTAACTGGTAAAAAAGTTATTCATTGATTTTTTTTAAGTAGAAGAAAATTCTTATTTCAGGCCAATATAACATCAATTTTGAAAGAAATTGATGCCAAAATATTTTTAATTTATTATTTCACATCTTTTTGGGTTAAAATGGAACCTTATAAAACAAAAAATTAAAGGAGCGCCAAGTTTTGTTACTTCTTATTTCAATAACAAGGAACTATCGAAACTTCTAAAAACCAAAACCTAATAGAAAAAACAAAAAAACAGTTGTTAATGATCAAAATAGCCTTTTACACTGCAAATGTGATAAACGATTAGTACGTATCTCCAATTTTTACCAACAATTTAAAAAACAAACAAAATAAACAAACACGATACCATGAAACATAAATCGCTTCTGATGCAATGTCAAAAACGGTCAATAAAAAATAAATAAAATTGCCGACTTAAACAATTGCTGAGGAAACAATAAGAAAAAAACAAATAGGGAAGTGATGTAAAATGATATTTAACACCGAATAAACAACGAAACTTAGACAATCATTTCCATACAGTTTCTATAGACAATAAAACAACTATAAAATTATTATAAAATAACTATATAAAAACAAGGTTAATTTAAACAAATAACTATATTATAAATATTATAATACTACCAAAAGAAACTATTGGACAAAAACAACAATAAGATCCAAATAAAAGACAAGAATATAATATTAATAAAATATCAAACAATTATCAAAAGACGGCACTATTTAATATTAAAACGTCAAACATAATAGCAAAAACATCAATTTATAATTAGAAGATGAATTACAAGATAGAAAAACATCAAAGGGGTATTACTTGTTATTTCAATAACAAATCGCAAAAAATACGAATCAAGAATTAATTTTTAATTAAAGTGACTTCCCAAGGTGTGCAAGTTAAGGTATAGTTCATTTATAATTTTTTTATTAAAAAAATAGAATCATTAATTTTTTGAAATTTTGAAAAAAAAGATTATTTTTAGTTTAATTATTAATTATAATTTTGAAGTTATTACTAAACTATACTTTAACTTGCACACCTTGTGACGTTGCAATTTTTAACTTTCACACTTCGAATACAATAAATTAAGCAACAATTTCGGGAAAGCGACCCAATGGAAATTATCGAAGGACCAGTTCTAAACAACAGTACACATTGATTTGAGATAATGAACTGCACCTATTAAACAGACTATTTGTTATTGTTTGCTATAAAATGGCACAGAGAAAAACATAATGTTTACCATACCTCTTCTTGTCGTTTTGAATTACGCTAACACAAGAAATATCAACATTTATTCACGTTCTTGAAACAAAACAGTTTTTACATTAAACACATAGACAAACCATTACCCAATTTTTATAATTTAATTTGCTTTTTGTAGTTTATTAATTCAAGCACAAAAGGGTTGTGTGTTTTTTGAACCAATTTGGAAACGAATAACATTTTTTAATAAAATGTTTTTCAACTAAAATTTAGTCTTGCACGCCATTTCCCCAGGGTCGGCCAAGATCCAGTTTTTAAACAACTTCGTGGCAATCTCAAATACGTGTCATTATTTATTTAGTTTTAGCAAATTGTAAATAATAATACAAATAAAAAATTTGATGTAAAATTGTTTTTTTAAATCAATAAAACGATAGTTAACAATTTAAACAACATTTCAAAATCTTTTAATTAAAAAATAGTTTTTGATTACAATATTGATTTGTTCTTTTTAAGCATGACTCTAGCATTGAATGAAGAAAATGAAATGTTTTGTTGCCAGGTATTTTTTTCTATAGAAAAACCAGATTCACTCATTGTACTTGTTAAAAATACAGCAGAGATATACAAATAAAAATTCCACAATTTTTATTTTAATTATATCAACATAAGAGTAAATATCAAAACAATTTACATCCATGTTTTTAACTAACACGAACCCTATTTCATCATTGACAACGGTTCTAAGTTGAACAATTTCTTCCAACAAATATTTGAGTTGTAAAGGTATAACAGTTTGTTTGTTTTTTATTATTTTGCCAAAATATTATGCAAACAATGAATAAATTTCCAAATTTGAGTAAACCAAATTACTTGTACTTTCAAAGCCATTCAATTTAACACAATTAAATCTCAACTCGATTCCTTTTTTTATTTTTTTCTAATATTTCCAAAAACAACTCTTTTTGTACCGAACAAATAACCACATTACAACCATTTATATTTTCAAATTCAGAAAAATCGTTGTTATTTAATCTGTTGATTTTTTCATTATTATTGTTGTAAAAATTAACAATTTTACAAGTTTCTTTTCAATTAACCCAATTACAATTTGTAAATTTTCGTTTAAATTGTTCAATTTAACAATTGTATAAATAAAAAAAGAAGTTATAAAATAGTTATTTTTATTTTGAAAAAACAATATACATTCTAATATATCAACATCATCGATAACAGTATATTCAACACGCATTTCCAACAATCTTAATTCAATATCGTTCCAATTATTGTAAACAAACACAATTATTTTTCCAACACTTAACCATCGTGTACAACAACCAGTTGGTACTGCCGAATTGTGTGTTTTGCTCCAGATCGAATCTTCTATCAAAACGTTACAAATTGTTCTGAAAAAAATAACAAATTTGCTGACAATAATTATTGATTCAAGTGATTTGGATATCAAATTAATTTTGTGTCAATAACACCAATTTTTATCACATTGTAATTGTTTTGGAACCATGTTGATATATTCACAAAATAATGTTGCGGTACCACTGTTTTTGCCATTCACGTTGGCACCCCCATCTGTGGTTATCGAAATAATTTTGCTTTGGCTAATTTTGTATTTATCTATTATAACTTTTAATTTATTGAATATTTCTTTTCCTGTTGATTTGGTTTCTAGCGTTGACGTTTCCAATATAAAATTATGTATTATCTTGGTTAATTGTACGACAACAAAAGTGTATTGAGAATTTAAGTGTATCTTTGACCCATCAGTCTGGATTGAAACACATTGATATTCTTGTATTGTGTATAAGAATCTCAATTCTCTTCTTCTTTTTCAAATACAGTTTCTGAGAATCGCCTCATCGATGTTCTTGAAAGATTTGGTTTATTTATTGTGTCAATTCCAAATTCTTCGGCAACTTGAATAATTATTTGTATTATTTTTTTAATTACATCTGTTATACATGATAAATCATTTCAGAAATTATTCGAGCGATAGTCATGTTTGTTTCTTTTATCTTATTTCTTGTGTTAAATTCATTTTCTAATTGGTTTTCAAAAACATAAGAATCAATTCCTTTACCTTCACAGTTATTTGAAAATCGTTTTCCATTAATATACGTTTTTATCAAACATTCTTTAAGTTTTATATTTTCAAATATTGTTTTGTGTTGTAAAGGATGTAAATTTAAACCATTACAGCTCATAATTTTACCACAAATGATACAATAAAATGTTTTAGTATCTATTTTATCTGCCAACTTGTTTTGTATTCAATCTACTTTAACAGGCATTTGTTTTATTTGTTTTTAGATTTTATCTTTATATTATCATATAATAAAGAATCCAAAATGAATTCTTCTTTTTAAAATTCAAAATGTCCTTAAATTACGTCTTTTATATTATTTATCGTTTTATTTCTTTTTTATTCATTTTTGATAATAAATAACTGTGTTATGTCTGATATAATTAATTAATAAAAAAAACAATGTGATTTACCATTTTTTGTTTTTTAAGTTTTTATTCAATAACACTATCGTTTGGCCGACCCTGCTTTCCCTGTAAAAAAGACTAATAATTTTAACTTGCACACCTTGGGGAAGTTACTTTATTCAAAAATATGCTTTATAAAAAAATTTAATTTCAAATAATTTATAACGCTATTTCTCGCTTTTTCTTTTCACTTCTTTTAAATGTATTTTTGGGTTCTACAGATAGATTAAAAACAACTTAATTAATTTGTATCGATTTGTGATAAAAACCCTGGTTCCTTATCAAAATAGAACATCACCGTTTTTTTGTTGTCATTGGAAATATCCATCACTCAATGAAAAATGTTTGCAAAAAGATTTTTTGTGGAATTATTAGAGTCCACCCATAGACTTTAAGTAAGACTCCAAGTTCAAGGCTATATTTTAAAAACTCAAGGCATCTCGTTGAAATTAAACTATAAAAAATAATAAAAATATTATATTGTTTAATAACTAGACTCTTGTATTTAAACTAGATTTTAATTTAAAAAACTAAAACAAAAATATAATAATTATTTATCCTTGTTTTTTTGTGTTTTACTTGAATCAACCTGTTCTTGGTCTTTTAAAATAATTGCACTCACCTAATCAACTTCAAGTTGTTTGTTGTTCAGATCTTCACTGGCCTTTCTGAACTGATCTCCCAACTCAACAATTATCTGTTTAACCATCTCTGACCGATTGTTGTGTCTTCTTCAAATTAGTTTGTGTATTACCAATATGAGTGTTGAAAGTAGACTCCTTTTGTTCGAATTCTGCAAAATTTTTCCAGCCTCTTCAACCTTTTTGGCATACTGTTTAGCTTGTTTCTTAGCTTTATCAGCTGTTTTCTGTGCTTCTTTCTTTTCTGTTTCGCTTTCAATTTAGCAATGGAAGCTCCAATAGCACCAGCGTCTGCCAATTTAGCTTCTGAATCGGTGACTTTGGCTCTAAGTCTTTGAATTTCTTTATCGGCTTCTTATTTGAGTTTTCTTTCTCAAATTCCTTCTGTAAATCAGCCTTTTGAGCAGTCAAAGAATTAATGGACTTCTTAGCCTGTTCCTTATACAGTAAAACTCGTTTTCGTTCTCCACCACTTCTCTAAGCTTCTCGGCTATTTCTTCTTCTGTGCTTTAGCCTGTTGGGCAGTTATTCTTTCGAGATCAAGTTGTTCATTCAGTTCAGTCAATTCCTTCTCTTGCATTTTATTTGACTGTTTATAAGTCTTAGCAGCTTGTTCAAGGGCTTCCAATTCAGTCTTCATCTCAGACACTTCATCTTCAAGTTTGTCACATTTGTCTTGTTTCTCGTCGAGTTCTGTCTTTGTTCTCATCAATTCTTCAGAAGCAGTTTTATAATCTCTCATAGTCTTGACCTTGTCCAGCCATCTGGACGTTCTTCTCAAGTCTTTCAGCTCTGACTGTGATTTCAGCGATATCCTTCTCGTACTTTTTTTAATCAATTGGGTCTTAGCATGTTCTTTCTTTTCTTGATCAAGTTCGGTTCTAACGCTCTTCAGTTCGTCTTGGTATTTTTGTTTCATCGTTTCATTGCTTCATTGCCATCTTTGTCATCATTTGCAGTGTCAAGTTGTTTCTGTGACTTGTCGACTTCGGCATTCAAGTCGTTGATCATTTTGTCCATTTCCTCCAAATCCTTCTCATTCTTCTTCTTTTCATCAGTGAGTTGGTGAACTTGAACGGTCAAGTCATTCGCCTTTTTAATCAACTTCTTTTTGGTGTTATTTGTTTCATCTAAGTTGAACTGGACTTCCTGCAATTTGCTCTCAGCAGCCTTTCTCGCAGCATCTGCACGTCAGATTTCTGTCTTTCTAATCGGGTTGGGCTTGAATTTCAGCAATTCTTGAATTCAATATGTTCTTTTCTTCTTCTTGAGCAACAGAAGCCGGTGCACTGACTTGGACTTTGAGTGATGAGATTTGTGCATTGAGTGCTTTAACTTAGTCTTCCATCTTCTTTCTTCTATCAGATTGGTCCGCAGCAGTCTTCTCATCATCAGCTTTGTCTTCCAATGCCATCTTCTTTTGTGCTTCAAGTGCCTTAATATGTGGTTCATAATTCTCAATCTTCGTTGCGTTCGATAGACCACTGTTTCATATCCTTCTTAGCAGCATCAAGTTGAGTGTTCTGGTCTTTCAACGCAGCAACCTCCTTCTCCAAATCAGCAGTGTCGTCTTCCTTCTCGTACAATTGTGTCTCAAGATCCTTTGAATTGTCTTCTTCGGCTTCAAGCTTGTTCTTCAAGTCAGAAATTTCGCCTTCCTTATCTTCAATGTTTTTGTTCAACTCAGTGATGACACTATTCCTCTTAGCAATAGTTGCTTTGTGTTCAATATTTCGTCTTGAAGTCTTTGATTATCAGCTTCAAGTTTCTTGTACTCAGTGGTTAACTTGCTCAAGTCTTCCTTTCCTCTCTTAATATCACCTTGGAGTTCCTCAATATGTTCTTAGTCTTCTCGTGACTTCATATCAGCTTTGTCAAGTTTAACATTCCTTGGCACAATATCTTTTTTAAACTTTTGGACTAAAGCTACCAAGTCGACGTTCTTGATTTTCATCTCAGCAAGTGCCTTCTCAGCGGCTTCTCTCTTTGCAATTTCTTCAGCAATTTCTTCAACAAGCTTCAATTTCTTTGTTTTTGGCTGCGAGTTCTTCATCAACTCTTCTTCTCTTAAGTGTTGGTCTGACCTTTTGGAACAATCTGAACCAGATCCAATTTCTGAATTGGTACCAAGTGTGAATGGTGTCTTGAATGACAATAATAGCAATCTGTTCATTGAGTTTCTGTTCAATAAGTTTTCTTTGTGAGATGGCTTTTGCACACATATGAAGACCACCAACAATTTCAGTGACTCTGTTCTCTCTAATTTCTTCAATTTCAGCAAGAACACCAACCTTGAAGAAAATCTTGATCTTTCCAAACTTGAATTCTTCAGTGTACACTTATGCCATCTTTCTTGTACTTCTCACAAATTGGTTTCATGAAATCTTTGACGACTGGCATGGCGTCTGAAGTCTTCTTGTTGATGTTAGTTCCAAGGAAGAAGTATCTCTTCAAGAATTCGTTGTAGATGATTCTGTTTGGATACCCAAGACGTGTAATTCTAATACCTTCTAAGATACTATTGCATCTCAATTGTTTCAAAACAGTCGAGTCAATGAAGTAGTGTCTTCTCTTCTGTGTATGTATTTGGAAGAATGCATCTAATGAAGTGTGGTCATTCTCAATTTTTTCATTAGATCATCAAGTTGTTCTTTGTGGTTAGATTCTACAGTCAAGAACTTGGCACCTCTCTGGCCCTTGTTAGCTCCACCAGCCGAGGCTCCAGAGTCATCACCACCGGCAACATGCAAACTGAACAGTTCTGAAATGAACTTCCCTTTAGCAGCCAAGAAAGTCTTTTTTATATGTGGTTTCAATGGATTTTGGTTCTTTTGGATTCTGTCAATATTATCATATCTTAGTTTTATTTGAATTTTTCAATTTTACTTATTTACTAATTTTTTTATTAATATAAATAATACTTTATTGATAATAATATAATAAAATATATGGTAATGTTTACTATAAATTAAATAAATATAATTTATTTAATTATATTTGATTAGAAAAAACTGAGCAGCGTCATAAACAGTTTTTACGGTTGTGCCACTCACAGAAAAAGTAATTCAAGATGAATCTTTAAATGGTGTCATGCGAGTGAGGTTGAGTGTCGACTTGGTATTTCTTACAACATTTATTGTACCAATGTAATCAATTTTCTTATCACAAAAACTGTTTGGTTTTGGTTATATTGGTTGTCTTTAGTTGTTGAAAGAAGATAAAGGAACTTAAAGAAGCATAATAGCAACTGCTGTTTGATTGTCACAGAAAGTTTAACCAATTAAGATTATTATTTGAGTGTATTCACTTGTCAACAATGAACCATTGTAATGTGCAATTATAATACATTACCGGATTTCACATTTTTAATCGCAGAAGTAATGTAAAAATTTTTATTGAACTTTGAGTTTGAAGCACTCTACTTGTTGATGGCGATTTGTTTTTTTGGTCGAAGACAATCTATTTTCAAAGTTACATCACTTGCCTCAGTGTTAATAATATCAACTTTGATGTTTGTAGATACAATGACTGTATTTGTTTGTGGGTATATTCAAGTACAAGGTGCTTTTAGTAGATGACATGTACACATAACAACGTCATCTTTGTAACTTGCTTCCAAAGTGTTTATTGACCTTCGACCATGCAAGTTATTCCCAAGTTTGTAGGAATAACTTTAAAAATGTTATAATACTGATAGTAAAAGGATGTAAAGTCGACTTGAGTAACTTTAATTTTATAATTCTTTGAAGTAATTGCAATTGACTCGGTACTACACATAAAAGAGTCTGAAGTTTTCATAAACTTTTAATAACTTCACACTTTAATATCACAACAAATTTCTTTGCCGTGAAGAGTTAATCAATTGTATTTGTTGAGGTATTTGAACCAAAAATCGCTTAAGAAAAAAAAAACAAATCACCCGAGTTGCCAAGGAACCCAAATGTTTGTAATGGTAAAATGTAAATATTAAAATATTTTTATTTGTTGAAACTTCCAAATGAAATAAGATGTTAATGACATTGATATGTGTAACATTAACAATTGACTATTTTATATCCTTAAAACATGTTTCATTGGGGCCATTCTTTCTTTCACGTCGATACGTATTTGGCGGGATGTGTTTTTTGTTTAACTTTGACGCTCTTTTTAAAAGAAAAAAAGATCTTTCTACTGAACAAGTAATAACCGCCATTATATTGAGTTCCATGCTAATTTTTATTAATTGTGAAACACCATCTTTTGATTTCATCTCTTTTAATACATTTGGTTACGTTAAATAATTCACTGGACACATTCCAATAAATTTGTTTAAAGTTTCATCCTTTGATTCACTATAAAATTTTCGCTGTTTAAATAATTCAATTTGTTGGTTTTACAAAGTCATTTCACTTAAAGAAGAAGCGCAATCCGAGTTCATCAATGGATCCGATAAATGCCCACTTGGTTCGCTAATATTAATGATATCTCGTTGTTCGTACGTACACCGAATGTTTGGAGATTTGTAAAATTTAATGATTGTTTGTTTAATTTGATTTATTACTTCTCGATTGTAAAGTTCCCAATCAATTATCCATTGTGCATATTCATTGTAGTGTTTGAAATCATCGATACATTCTTCATTAATATCCAACATGTACAGCTTCATTTCGATCATCAGATTTGGATTTGTAACTCTTTTTTGGTTTTCTGCAAAGTCGTCATAAGTATCAACAACAAGGTCTTCTTCCTTCAGAAAGTGCTCGTTGAATATTTCAAAATGTGTGGTTTTCGTAGTGGGTTTGCAAATCTGAATACAAAAGCTTGAACAAGACGCGTCGCGAGTTTTTTTTTGCAAATTACCCGAAGAGTTTCAATGTCATCTTTGTTGTTTTCTCTGACGAATAACGTTTTTTCAAAAAATTTGTTTTTTGTGTCAGAAATATTTGCTTTTATATTTATAAAATACTTGATTGTTTGGCAAATGCGTTGATAAGCAACTGGAAATGAAACATCCTTCATTGAAGCCATTGACTCAACAATTTCATTGGAGCAAATAGATAATCAAGAATATAAAGCCCACTGACAAACAACCCACTTTCCAAATAAATATCATTAAAATAGTTTTCATCGACTTCTTTTAATTCGAGATGATAATTTTGAGAATTTAAAAAATTTCGATAATTTTCATAGTTTTCAAATATCGCCGATGTGACAAACGATGTAAAAAACGAGTTGCACTACTACCTGGTATTTTTTGTTGAACACGAACTCGTCTTATTCTCTCGGTTGTATGCTACCCATGCATTTCTAAAATGAGCATTTGTGATATCATCTAAGAACTGTTTCATGACACATCCTTCTTTTTTTCAACCACCTTTTCACACGCTTTTGAAAGTCGATGGTCGAAACAATATTTTTTTAAAAAATTAATCCTGAGTTCAAGAAGTACCAATTTTTTAAATAAATACCATATTTGCGTTACAAGTAGTCCCATATAACTAAATGCCTCTCAGTTGTTGAACACTTAGTTTTGCGTGGTTCAATGAGCGTAGTATCATTCAACCCATGATTCGGCGTCGCTTTCGCCATAATAATTGCCGATTTTTATTTTTATTTTGGATGTTGTTGTAAAATTAGAGCACATCCTGGTGTACAAAGAATAATGTGTTTCTCCACAACAAGTCTGCGAGTCGGCTATTAAATGAAATGGGGTTTTAAGTAAACCATAATTTTTGAGTCTTTTTTGGTTTAATTTGTGTATCAATTTCATTTTTCTCTCAATCATTTTTGCACAAATAACCAATTCTATTTCAGTGCCGAAAATGATGATCTTGATGATGTCTAAAAATGTGTTATTTCATTAGTGGAGCAATCTTCAATAGCAAACAATATTGAAAGAAGAATAATTTTGAATTTCTTCCTCTCAACTACTTGCTTTGGATGATTCGAACCCACTCGTTTTATTACTGCACTATCAATTTGATTAATTATTGTCTCGATTGTGCTATTTCCTTTTTTGTATTTTCAAAAATTTCCATTAAAATGGACATTCGTTCCAAATCACTTTTTTCGTTTTTAAACTGAAGTTTGGAACTAATTTTAGTGTCATCTTCACTATCAACATCATCTTCCCAGTTCTCTTTCTCGTTTACCATACAAGTGGTGGTAGACTCACGAATTCCAATTAAATTGGCATGGTGTTTTACACTCGCTTCTTATTCTCCATCACTTTGATATAACCTTTTGTCTATACTATTTTCTAATGGGTTTTGTTGTATTTCAAAGTCAAAATGCGCCAACGACTGGCCAATTGGAATAGACTTTTCACAGTTTTGTTTTGGCTCATTTTGGTCGACAATTACACACGTATCTTGTTGTTCTGCATTAAATCTGGACTTGGTTGGTGCAATACTTTTTTCAAATGCCGGAATTATTGTCGTTTCGCCTTGTAGTGTAAACCTACCAAATGTTTGTGTAGATGTGGTTGGAATTGTTTGTTGATGTTCTTGATGATTATACAATGGTATAAGTAAGTTCTCGTTTACCACATTTGGAATATCAGGGATGTTAGTATTCACGCGTTGTGTTAAATTCCCACAAATTGATGATTCATTGTGCTCACTGAAATATTCCATATTTGGTTGAACGTGTTCAACAAACAGTTCGGTTGATATATTTCTCAAATCGGCATTTATTTATTGGATTTTTTCAGCTTTGTTTGTTAATGTAATCCCCGGGTTTTTTATCGTTTGTTCAATTCTGTCTTTTTGATACTTATTCGCATTTCGTTTTGACTTGACCCCAGATAAAAGAAAACATTTCAATGCCAAATAGTTCAAAATGTTGAAATGTTTTAAAGCAACTTCGTAAAGTGGTTGTTGCATTGTACTCCACCTGGACAATTCTTTAACAATAACTCCTTTGTGGTGATATTGGGGAGTATAATTTGGAAATTTTCAACAGAAAACACAATAGTTTTTGTTTTTTTTTACACAATTGTCGGTTTTATCTTCGATAAATGGAATTAACTCCACTGTTTTTCCAAACGAAAGACGACGTCTTTGAATTCTTTTTTTCTTTCGAAAGATGTGTTTTAAGCATCAATTGTTATCAATTTTAGTTGGTTTTATAATTAATTCAAATATATGTTATATTTTTAGAAAGGGTTTTTAATAATCAAAACAATAATTATCTAAATTATACAATTTAAAATTGTTAAAATAATCAAATAAATATTAATATTAAAGATTGAGTGGCTTGGTGATATAGAAATACTTAAATTATTTATTCTTTTTTATTAATTATAAATATTCACTCATTTTGAAATAGTACTTTCAAAAGTAAATAACGCAACAAATAAAATAAAAAAGTAAATTGACAAAGTTACAGAATTACAATTGTGTCATTAAATAATTTTATCATCAAGATAAGTTCTTTTAATTCTAAAGCAACCATAGACATTGAGGTTGTACTCTATTGCACTATTGACAATATGGTTGTATCGTTTATGTTGCGTTCACAAAATCCACATATCTCGAATGTGTTTTACTACACTTTCCTTTTGCAAATTAAGTAGCTGAATAAGAATTTGGTCAACAATGTGACTGACTGCTTCACCAAAGGTCTATGTTCGACATCTCAAAGTTAATGAAGTCGAGTCTGATGCTGTTCTTCTTGAATACATTTGACAATGTTTTGTTGTCGCCGCTTTACTTAGAGTTGTTATAGCCTGATGTCATCTCGGCGATGTAACTCTGATTAGTTTACCACCAATGTACTTTATCATTTTTCTTAGTTGGTGCAAAGTTTAATTCAAAGAAACTCTTCACTGTTAACAACATATTGTTGATATGACTCAACAAAAGGTCAAAATATTATTATATTAGAAATTTTTCATATTCATACAGGTAGTTGTCACCTCGATTCCCTATAAAGTTTGTTGATGTTGGCAGCTTATTGTTAATTGACAATCTCTTTACTCGGAGTGCCCAGTATTGTTGACTGTCTTTTCAATTTTTTTCCAGTGACTTGCTGTTTCTACACTGGAACTTTCCAATGCTACAACTACTCGGTTTGTAAAGTGTAACTCTGAAAATTCTACACTCATAACTCATTGAAGTCTTTGTATATTTCAATTGTGGTCTTTTGAAGGATTTGGTCATTATAAACGAATAAAATATATTGAAATGTTGTTTTCCGTGTCTTTGAAAACGCGTCTTTGGTAGTGCAATTGTTAATCCATCGGGGTATCTCAATAGTAACAGAGTTTTCAACGTTAACATCACACACGTGGAACGAAATTAAGGCCTGGCACTTCAAATTAATTGTTTAATTTTTTTATTGTTTTTTCCACTTTTTATAAAATATGTTTTTAATTTGTGTTATTAGTGGCTGTCTCTGGTTTTATTATAAAATCGCTTGGTCAAAAAATAGGCAACACAACTTTCTCGAATATAAGATCAATTTTGTGAAGGATCTTGGTAATTGGTTGCCAAAATCAAATTTCATTATTTTTTATGATAATTTACAAACCCAACTTGAAAAAAACAGAACTAAAAAGTACAAGACATTACCCAATTTTTTTCACAAAATTTTAATTTAATCAAAAAGATTTGAACCCGAACAATTTTTATTTATAAAAGAACAAATTGTATTTATCTATACAAAATATAGTTTTTGTATAGATAAAAAACAAAAAACAAAAACAATCTTTTATTGTTTAATGTTATTATTAAAATTTGATAACTCATTTTTTTAAATACTTTTTTATACATGGCGTATTTAATTAATAATACATGTTTATTGTAATTAACCATCATACAGTAAACATGGTTTAAACAATAATAAACAATTCTATATAATAAGTTACAACCATTTGTAATCAAATATTTATATGTAAAATATCGTATTTATTCAAATTATTAATGTTTGAAAAATCCATTTCTAATGTTATCAGTTTGTTTTTGTTTGTATTTTTAACAAGTTGGTATTATGTATTAATTTGAATTGTTTATATTTATAATTATATATATGATTGTTTTAATTATTTTTTTGATATCAATGTTTGGAAACGAAAATAGCGCCAATCGATATAACATTAACAATTTATATTTTTTTCATTGTATATAAATTTGTTTAATAAATAATTGATGTGTTAATTGGCAAAATTCCCCATTTTTGCAATAATTAAAACTGTTTAATATTTTATAACTTATTTTTAATGTTCATTCTATTATTTAACTATTGATATAAATTTGCATTAATATTTTTAAATATTTCTGTTTTTTTATCATGTTTATTTATTTCTTTCTTAATGCACAATTTGGGATAAATGTATTTTAATCATGGACAAAAAAATGTAAAAAGGTGCAAGTTCTGGACCCGAACAAGTTTTTTGGTACATTTACTTAAATGCCATATGTTTGCTTGATTTCCCCGTTTATTATTGTTGTTTTTATACAACATATTAAAAATAAAAAATAAAAAATAATAATAAATTTGAAAACTCATTCAATGTGCAATAAATCCTTTTTTACCAATATATTTGGCAAAAACTTATTTATTGTGACTTTAAGTAAATAATCAATGTTAAAATATATATCGAAACAGTCATAAACTAAATTTTAAAATTTGCTCAAAAAAAACGTGGTTTTCAAAATAAAATTTATCTAAAAACGCATTTTAAAAATGATATTTTTAGTAAAAATAAATAAAAACAAAATTTGAATTGTTTTACCAAAAATATTGAGCACAATCTATTTATTTGTAATGTTTTTCAAAACTGTACTATATTTTTAAATTTTATTAATTAAAACTATTTTCTTCTTATTACAAATTATATTAATGTAAATAACTTATTTTTTAAATAATATGGCATGGCCTAGAATTTTTTGCTCAAAATGAAAAAAAGATTAAAAAGGCAGTTTTTTGTGGCAAAAAAATCGGTTATGGTTAAGCTAATTTTGAAAAGATGCAAATAAACGGGCTATTGGGTAATATTGAATTGTGGTTCTAGAAGCCCAATCTAAAATAAAAAGAGTTTTTTTATAACAATTAACATATAAAAATAATTGACAGTTTTAGCTTTCAAATTAACACTTTTTTTAATTAACGTTTTTGTTATTTAAATATTTAATAAATGTGTTTTTAAAATTAAAATAACATATATTTTAATTAACGTAATAAAACATCATATTATATTATATTAATTATTTAATCAAGTTACAACAACTTGATTAACTATATATTATAACAATAAATGAAATAGATATGATATTATTTATCATAGTTGTTAATTAAATACAAAACAAATTATATTAATAAACAAAAAATAAATGATTAAAAATTTATAAAAAAACTGAATATTAAATGAGTGATTACGTTTTAAATGACACTGATCTAAAATATGTGAACGATGTTTCAACACTTTCTTATGATTATATTTCTCTTAAATACAGAACAGTATCCTTTTTCTTTTGTCTTTCTCATGGTGTTTTTTTAACAAGCAAAAATAAACACACTCAAAACAAAAGTGATGCTCACAAAAACAACTTTATATTAACTCATGAAGAAATTGAGATATATAATCATTTTGTAAATGCTTACAACGATTCATCAATTGCAAAAATTCAATCAAAGTTCAACACAACTAAGGTATACTGTAAAGCCGAAATTACCGAACAATTTTTCGTTTATTTACGACTTAAATCATCACAGACTCGATTAAGAAAAATGAAAATTGTTACCGAAAGTGTAAACTCGTTAGAGTGTGATACAACTGAAACTCTGAATAATGATAACAACATGGATAATAATTATAACGATTTTAGAAAAATTGAAGATGACGAAAAAGGTGAAGAAACTGAGTTTGACGCAAATTTATTTTTTGATTTGAATCACGACGAGGAAAAACTTGAAGAAAACAGACAACAAAATGTTGAAATAGTTACATCTGAAGAGGATTTGTTCAATTATAACGAAGAAGAAAATTTGTTTAATGGAGTTCAAAAAGAAAAGGTTGAAGAAATAAAAAAGGAATTTATTGAGTTCTAAAATCACACATTTGAAATATTCAAAACAATTGGAATGAAAGAAGTGGACATTGATGAACTTTCCGAGACTATTAGACGCTTTTCTTATATAGAAAACAAGAAAAAGAAAAGAGAGTTTTCTCCCAATCATTTTATAGTAGCATTTGTTTCCATGTTTTCTGGAGAGTTTAAAAACTTGAACAAAAGAGAAGTGGGACCACTAGTTGTTAAACAAAGAAAAATAGTCGATTACATCATTAATGAAATTACAAACAAAGCGGCAATGAGCGCATCAGATAAAAAAGCCATTAAATTTTGCATTGAAATAAGTTTTGCTGGGCTCAGTAGAAATGCATTGAACCGTGCGAAGACACTTGCTATAAGTCAAAAAACAACAGTAAATCAGATAATTGATGCAAACGAAAAAGAAAGAAAAAACAGTGAAGCTCAAATGCTTGAACATGAATGTGTTGCGATATCTGTTGACTCAACTACTAAAGATGACATTGAAATATTTTGTGTGATGATGCGAGTAGTTCGTGGAAGGAAATGTGTCGGATTACCTCTTTTATTTCGTCAATACAAAAAAGAAACAACAGCAGATACTCTTGCTGTGTGGTTAGTACATAAACTATATAAACTTGGTGTTCTGTGTTGTCGTGTAGTGAATATAACAACAGATGGTATC